GTTATTGACCCAGGCAACAGGCTGGCCGGCCAATGTCTATTGGGATATCAGGGTTGTCCTCGCTTAACTTCAAGAGTGGCTCACTATGTTTGCGACAGTGTCCAACCCATAGAAGACCAACAAGATCTGATCCGCGGCGTCGAGCCCACTCGCCAGGACGGGCGCCAAATCGGCGGTGTACGTCCAGTTGTCCATAAATACCCAGCGCTCGGTGAAGTCTGGAAAGACTCTGATGAGATGATTATACAGTAAAAGAATGCACGAGCTTCCGCACCATTGAGGCCAAGAAGAGGTTCAGTGATGATGCCTGCTCGTGTCAAATCGAGGTGCGCCTGGGAGGGGAGAGTGCCGGGGACGGCAATGGAGCCATTCTGGTTTAGCAGGGTCCACTCGAGGGACGATAGATCGAAGACCGCGGCTAGGCAGCAAGGAAGCCACCATAGTAATAGTATCAGCGGTTGCATGGTGAGATCGGTGTAGAAGGGAACCGACGAAACATGTTATATAGGAAAAACGTGGACTGCGGCGCCTGACTGATGGGTGAATCAAAACACAATTGCACCGTTTCCCACGAATAGAGAAGGCTCCCGGCACCTTCCTTTGATCTGAATCCGAATCGCGTTTTGGCGGAATTTTAATTTAATTCTTCAAGCAGAACTCGTTGCTTGGCACTTGCCAAGACTCATTGTAAGTTAGAGAACATCCTAGCGAATTTATTAGCCTAATGTTTCTGTAAGCCATCAAATACGACTCGCATCATTGTACAGCAAACCCGTCAACTGCGGATTCGGGGCCCGGCGGCCCAAAGGATGACACGGAGATATCTAGTAATGTAATTCTTGATTGAAGTGACGGCCTGAGGATCGACAATCAAGTCATCAGGCCGGGTGGTTCGAGTCGGAGGAGGTTTCGGGTCCGAGTCAGCAATGGACTGGCTCGACCTCAATCTCTGGAAATGACGTTCAACATGCAGTGAAGATATCAATTTTGGAATCGGCAGGGAGGAGAGACCTGGGGCGGCTAGTATCTCGATCCCTGACATATGCATATCCAGTTCAATCAGAAATGCAAGGATTTGGAGGCCACTGGCGCACGGCGGACGCAATTGGGTTGGTTATGGAAGGAGAGCAAGTGCTGAGGGGACCCCTGATCCCTCTCGACACATCGACCGGTCGTCTAGGTTCAGCCCATGTACCCCAGTCAATCGAAAGGGGAAAAGAAAACAGATGGACTCGGAAGACGGCCCTATTCACTCCCCATACATTGACAAACGACGACGACTTCGTGACCAGTACCGGAATGAATTGCAGACTACACCTCGCGCCATGGTACTGCGTTTGTCGAGCGCACTATCGTGTCAGCTTAAAATACGATCCCTAGTCCCACGCGCCAGACACCTAGGTGAAAGAATCGTCAGATCCGCCTGAACCGTGTTCCCTGATGCTGTCTCTTCGGAATCATGATTGTCTGCGAACTCTCCGAAACAATAACCAACTTTCAATAGCCTCCCAGAACCCACGGAGGAATACGGATCGAGGGAAAAGAGAGTTACGCGTTCTGCAGCCATTAAACCAGTAATTATGCTGCACGGACCAGCGCTGTCATCTCCCAAGCTCACCGACATGCCCCGTCCTTTCTGCCGATCGAAACCCTCCCCGCGAGCGGAAAGAGAGGTCACCTGGATGGGAAACAAATGCCGAGGAAGTCGGGGGCACTGGCCAACAAGGGGAAAGAGAGATTCCCAGTACTAGTGAATCCCGCCCACAAATTTTGTGAGGTTGTGCCTTGCTTTTTTGTGAAGAGACTAATTTCCATATAGGCTCTGTATGAGGGTTCTTTTGTATAAAAAACCGCGAAAGAGGCCCAGCGCGCGCGAAAGAGTTTTGCACCGCGCGAAAGAAAAGTACGTCAGACAGTACATGATCGATGGGTGACTTCACGTGCCATTTCGGACGTTGCCGCGGCCCCTAATTGAAGTAGGACATGACGCGCTCAACTGGACCGAGCCCTAGGGGCTGCAGGGATGCCCGGGATAGCACGTGTAGTCATGCATCGATCACTCAGAATCGGGGTCCGCCAAACCGAATGCCAACGGATTCAGACTACCTACGCGTGGATGTGTTAATAGACCTCCTGAGACTTTCAATGCTGAATATGCATACACCATGATATGTGCGCCAAACATGTGTGACAAAAGACTGCCGTTCGACATTAATATTGGTATGCAGCATCATCTGTGTCAGTCTGAAGTTGCCTCTCTTTCTTCCTCTTAGTTTTGGTCACTACTGCCGTGACTCCCGTGTTAGGAAAGTCGATATGAACTTAGGGAAGACCCCTCAATCTAATCTAATCTAATCTAATCATATTATCTTATCTGGTTGATCAACCTTGGCCGACTCGAACCTTAAAATCAAGTTGAAATTCTGACCTGTTGGCGAAAAATTGTGTCTTGGAAGACAACTGATTCGCTTTCCCGCGGACTCGATTGGAGCATGATGACCAGTTTCCCCGGTCAGGATTACGATATCAAGATTCAACTTAAGGTCGAGGTTCCAGATCACTGAAATTTGACTGAAATCCGCGGAGACTGAACAGAGGGGGACGATACCGTTGGTTTTTCGCTGTCTTTAATCTGAAATAGAACAATTACTCGACGTTCTTTCGCGCGCGCAATTACTATCTTTCGCGCGCGCATTGATCTTTTTCGCGCGCGCCATGATCTCTTTCGCGCGCGGATTTTGATTTTTTATACAAAAGAACCATCATACTCTGCAGCGAGTTGTGCACTGTGGGACTCAGAGAAAGTGAAATTCACCCTGATTTTCACCAGGAAAGCAGGAGAAATCGTGTTCGTTCCGGGTGCGCTGAAATGCTTCGTATGATGGTTCTTTTGTACAAAAAATCAAAATCCGTGCGCGAAAGAGATCCCGGCACGCGCGAAAGAGATCAATGCGCGCGCGAAAGATATCAGTTGCGCGCGCGAAAGAGCGTCGACTAATTGTTCTATTTCAGATTAAAAATAGCGACAAACTAACGGTATCGCCCCCCTCTGTGCGGTCTCTGCAGATTTTAGTCAAATTTCAGTGATCTGGAACCTCGACCTTAAGTTGATATCGTAATCCTGACCGGGGAAGCTGGTCATAATGCTCCAATTGAGGAGTCCGCTGCGAGGGAAAGCGAATCAGTGGTCTTCCAAGACATGATTTTTCAACCAACAGGTCAGAATTTCAACTTGATTTTAAGGTTCGAGTCGGCCAAGGTTGATCAACCAGATAAGATAATATGATTAGATTAGATTAGATTGGGCGGTTTTCCCTAAGTTCATATTGACTTTCCTAACACGGGAGTCAGGGCAGTAGTGACCAAAACTAAGAGGAATAAAGAGAGGCACCTAATAGTATGACACAGATGATGCTGTATACCAATATTAATGTCGAACGGCAGTCTTTTTTCACACATATTTGGCACACATATCATGGTGTATGCATATTCAGCATTGAAAGCCTCAGGAAGTATATTAACACATCCACGCGCAGGCTCTGCATGTGCATGGAGATACGAAGATACGATTGATACGACCGGCTGCGCGCTAATACTTGTGTGTAGATTAATTTTGTGGGTGTCGCACAGCCACTCGGCTTGCCTACGGCTTGATGACACAGGCTGTCTGACGTACTTTCTTTCGCGCGCGGTGCAAAACTCTTTCGCGCGCGCTGAGCCTCTTTCGCGGTTTTTTATACAAACGAACCCTCATACTTCGGGCTTGCTATATATGGGAAGGCCGATGCATTTCGGCGGGCCCGAAATGGTCACGTGCCGTATCGAAACTAACATCGGGCGCCCCGAAATTTCCGTAATCCCGGTGTGATTTTCTCGGCCATTTTCTCGAGGGACAGAATGAAGTCAAATATATCGGCCGGCGACAATTTCAAGACAGAGTGATGCGGGGGGCGGCGTCGACATCGCTCGGATATAAAGGTGGGTGGAAGGGAGGGAGGGAGCGGGCGTGGTGAATGGTGCACGGTTGTCTTCAATGCATTAGACAGGCCATTGAAGTTTAAGCAGCAGATCCGGGTTCAACTCCCGGCGCCCGCGTGCAGCTGCGTCAATGCTTTTTTTACTTTTTCTTTCTCTCTTGGGCGCGGCAGTCTGAGCCGGTTGATGCTTTTCGTGGGGTGCCTTTTCGCGTTGAGTTTACATACTTACAATTTGTTCACATGCTTGAAGTTGGGATGAGGCAAGCACTTTCGGAGAAAGAGCATGTAAGGGGACTAATTCGCTCGGATATAGGGGGGTGGAGGGAGGGAGGGAGGAAGTGGGCGTGGTGTAGGGTACACGGCTGTCCTCAATCCATTTGGAGTCAGGCATTGCTGATGGCAGGTCCGGGTTCGACTCCCGGCACCCGTATGCGCTGTCAGTTTAGCGTTTTATTTCTTTTCCCGGCGGCCCTTTTTTGATTGTAACTGGGGATCCTGAGTGCAAGTTTCGGGTGGGGTTTTTTTTTTTGAGGTGGGGCTGCACCACAGTTCAAGGTGGAGCTTGAATATAAATGAAGTAGACCTAAGGCTAAGATAAATAAAGAAGTAGACTTGGGGCGAAGATGAATTCAGGCGCGGAGTGGCGTCGCAACGGTCGAGCTTAGGGATGCTCAAAGGGGAGGGATGAAGCGGGTGTGGTGTATGGAACACAGCTACATTGATGTTTGCCCAATGCTTTGAGCAGCAGACCCGGGTTCGACTCCCGGCACCCGTATGCGCTGTCAGTTAGCTTTTTGTTTCTTTCCCCCAGCCCTTTATTTACCTATGGCCACGGGATCCCGAGGAGTTTCGGTGGGGTTGCGCTTTTTGAGGTGGCAAAGGTGGAGTGTTGAAGGCGCGTGAATTGGCTTATTTACAACAACAACAAAAAACAAGTGCAGGTGCACGGTCCTCGGAGGCAGTGAACTGAGGAGCCTCCGTACCATCGCTCAAACCTGGTAGAGCTCAGAGGGGAGGGAAGGAGCGGGTGTGGTGTACGGTACACTGCTGTCTTTTATTTGCATACCAGAAACAGTTATTGTAAGCAGTAGATCCGGGTTCGACTCCCGGTGCCCGCATGGAGCTGTGTCAGTTGCCTTTTTCTTTCTCTCTTGGGCGCGGCAGTCCGATGACCCGGGTGGTCCTTTTCGTGTTGAGTTTACATACTTACAATTGTTCTGTTTAGACATTTGAAGTTGGGATGAGGCGAGCACTTTCGGGGCAGAGCGGAAGAGGGACGAATTCGCTTGGATGTAGGGGGTGGAGGAGGGAGGGAGGAAGCGGGTGTGGTGTATGGTCCTCAGCTACATTGCTTTAGACGTTGCCAGAAGCTTTGAGCAGCAGATCCGGGTTCGACTCCCGGTGCCCGCATAGGTGGTGCGAAACTCTGTTTTTTTTTCGTTTTCTTTACTTGGACAGGTACGAATTCGCTCGGATATAGGGGGGCGGAGGGAGGGAAGAAGCGGGTGTGGTGTATGGTACACGGCTGTCTTCATTCGTGCCTCTGTTCTTGCTACTGTAAGCAGCAGATCCGGGTTCGACTCCCGGTGCCCGCATAGGTGGTGCGAAACTCTGTTTTTTTTTTCGTTTTCTTTACTTGGACAGGCACGAATTCGCTCGGACTTGGAAGGTTCAGAGGGGAGGGAGGACGCGGGCGTGGTGCATGGAGCACAGCTGTCTTTCATTCGCGTCTCTAGAAAAATTACTGTAAGCAGCGAACCCGGGTTCGACTCCCGGCACCCGCATGCGCAGTCAGTTTAGCGTTTTATTTCTTTCCCCCGGCCCTTTATTTGACTGAGTTGAGTTTCGGTGGGGTTGCTTTTTGAAGTGGGGCAAAGGTGGAGCTTGAACATAATTATAAATGAGGTAGATTTAAGGCTAAGATGAATTCAGGCGCGGAGTGACGAGGGACGGACGGCGTCGGTACCGGTCGAACGTAAGGGAGTTAGGAGGGGAGGGAAGAAGTGGGTGTGGTGCATGGTACACAGCTACATTGCTTTGGGCGTTGCCAGTTGCTTTGAGCAGCAGACCCGGGTTCGACTCCCGGCGCCCGCATAAACAACTCCCTTGTTTCTTTTTCCTGGCAGCCCTTTATCTTTTATTTATCTGTCGCCATGGGATCCCGAGGAGTTTCGGTGGGGTTACGCTTTTTGAGGTGGGGCAAAGGTGGAGTGTTGAAGGCGCGTGCATTGGCTTATACTTACAAAAAAACAACAAGTGCTGGTACAGAGTGCTGGAGGCAGTTTGTCTGAGGCACCTTTCGAATCTGAAGAACTTGAGAGGGGAGGGGGAGCGGGCGTGGTGCACGGTGCACGGCTGTCCTTGATAAATGGGTAGCCTAATATTGTCTTGAAACAAGCGCATCCGGGTTCGACCCCCGGCGCCCGCATGTGGACGGTGCAGGTACCGTTTTTCTTTCTCTCTTGGGCGCGCTAGCCTGATGCCCCGGTTGGTGCTTTTGGTGTTTAGTCAATCAACGGTTTGCAAATTTAAGTTCGGATGAGGCGAACACTTTCAGGGGAAAAGCACGGAACAGGGACGAATTCGCTTGGATATAGGGGGTGGAGGGAGGGAGGGATGAAGCGGGTGTGGTGTACGGTACACTGCTGTCCTCAGTTCGCTGCGCTCGCCATTTCGAAACAAGCAGACCCGGGTTCGACTCCCGGCGCCCGCATGGGGAGTGTACATGTTTATTCCCTTTTTGCTGGCTGCCATTCCGTTCCATTCCATTATTTGCGGCATTCTGAGTTGAGTTTCGGTGGGGTTACTTTTTTTGGGTGGGGCACTGTTGGAGCTTGAACATAATTATAAATGAGGTAGACTTAAGGCTAAGATGAATTCAGGCGCGGACGGCGTCGCAACGGTCGAGCTTAGTGATACTCAGAGGGGAGGGAATAAGCGGGTGTGGTGTACGGTGCACGGCTGTCCTCAATTAAAACGACCTCGAAATAGTTGCACGCAGGAGATCCGGGTTCGACTCCCGGCGTCCGCATAAATAGGTCAGTGTGATGCTTATTTCCCTTTTTGCTCGCCGTCATTCCGTTCCATTCCATTATTTGCGGGGTTCTGAGTGCAGGTTTCGGTGGCCTTATCTCTATTTATTTATTTTATTTTATTTTACAGTTGGAGCGTACTTTTTTATAGTTGGGGCAAAGGTGCAGCTTGAATGTAATTATAAATGAAGTAGACTTTAGACTAAGTTAAGATGAATTCAGGCGCGGACGGCGTCGCAACGGTCAAGCTTAGGGATGCTCAGAGGGGAGGGATGAAGCGGGCGTGGTGCATGGAGCACGGCTGCATCGCTTTGGGCGTTGCCAGTTGCTTTGAGCAGCAGACCCGGGTTCGACTCCCGGCGCCCGCATAAGCAAGTCCCTTGTTTCTTTTTCCTGGCAGCCCTTTATCTTTTATTTGTCTGTCGCCATGGGATCCTGAGGAGTTTTGGTTGGATTACCTTTTTTTTTTTGAGGTGGGGCAACGTTGGAGCTTGAACATAATTATAAATGAGGTAGATTTATGGCTAAGTTAAGATGAATTCAGGCGCGGAGTGATGAGGGACGGCGTCGAAATCGGTCGAATCTGAAGAACTTGAGAGGGGAGGGAATACGCGGGCGTGGTGTACGGTGCATCAACTCCTGTAGATTGCAGAAAGGTTAGCAGTAGACCCGGGTTCGACTCCCGGCGCGCGCATAGTGTCGGAGGTTGTATTTTTGCATCCAAATATTTAGTTTTTATTTGGCGATTCCTGAGATACCGCAGGCTCAACCGAGAAGGCTGTTGGGAATTGTCTGGGCGAGAGGGATATTTAAAGAGAGGCCATAGTCGTGATGATGATGTCATGCCAGGCCGTACGTTGAACAAGGTCGGCGTTTCCGGTGGCTCGGTGTGGATGTCCGACGGAGGTTGATTGGGGGCGGTTATTAGACGCCATACGGGGCCGGACGGAGAGCTTCGCCGTTAACGTTCTGACAAGGATTGATACATATCGAGTTCAGGTTTCGGTTGGATTACTTTTTTGAGTTGGAGCTTGAACGAAGTAGACTTAGACTTTAGGCTAAGTTAAGATGAATTGAGGCGCGGAGTGATGAGGGATGGATGGCGTCGAAATCGGGCGAACCTAGGGAGGTTGAGAGAGGAGGGAGGAAGCGGGTGTGGTGTATGGTACACAGCTGTCTTTCATTCGCATACCAGAAACAGATATTGTAAGCAGCAGATCCGGGTTCGACTCCCGGCGCCCGCGTGTATTATGCGCGGATCGGCAACGCCGGTCCGATTCACCGGATCCGCCTGGATCAGCCACCGACTTCCGCCGTACGCCCCGATGTACGCCGGATTCCACTGACCAAAAAACCTGTACACCGGAGTGCACTGTATATCGATAAATAATAAAATCCCTTTTTTGCTCATTGCAAAATACGCTGAATACCGCCGGAATTCACCGGGTGTATGCACCAAGAGAATTCACTGTATCCTAGCACTGGCACCTCACCCATCAGAATACGCTGGTATTCACCAAATTCCTCCAAAATGTATGGCAGATTTTTTGGTTTCCAGTGGAATACAGTGTATTACACACTGTATTCCACTGGAATCCACCAGAATCCAACAGATGATATTAAGATATGTTTCCATTTGAAACCGCCCGTCATACTTCATACGTAGTGCTGAATGATGGCTCTTCCAAATCTTCAATCCTCTCCCAGAACTCTCTCCGTATTCACCCGCTGCAGAATTTAAATTTGTTGAGGATAAGCCCCCAGAATACAGTGGTTTCCTGTGGATAGATGCAGGTCGCTGATTGACACTATCGTACGGTATCTCATCAGTGGATTTGGCACAGATCCGATGGGATCCGATATACATCAGCGTACGCCGATGTACGCCGCTGTACGTTCATGGTCCGGGCATAAAACTCGCGCCCGCGTGGAATTCTTCGAGCCAATCCCCTTTTTTTTAGTTTAGTTTTTTTTGGGGGGGCCGTAGTGCTTTCCGTGTTGAGTTTACATCTATACATACGGTTTTTTGCAAATTTAAAGTGGGGATGAGGGGACGAACACTGCGTCTTTGTTAATGGGCGCACTTCTCCAGGCACCAGGGTGATTTCTAGCGTGCGACGAAGGCTGAGGCGGAGTAGATCTGGGCCGGCTCAATTTTTGAGTCCGAGTTTGAACACGCACGCATAAATTGGCTTATACTCAAATACTAAAACAAGTGCAGGTGCACGGTCCTCGGAGGCAGTGAACTGAGGAGCCTCCGTACAATCGCTCAATCCTGGCAGAGCTCAGAGGGGGAGGGAAGAAGCGGGTGTGGTGGATGGTACACTGTTGTCTTTCATTTGCAAACCAGAAACAGTTATTGTAAGCAGTAGATCCGGGTTCGACTCCCGGCGCCCGCATGTACAAGGTGTCCTCGATGATTCTTTTTTTTCTTTTTGCGCGGTGGCCTGACGCCCCGGGTGGTCCTTCTCGTGTCGAGTGTACATACTTACAATTGTTCTGTTTAGACATTTGAAGTTGGGATGAGGCGAGCACTTTCAGGCCAGAGCGGAAGACGGATGAATTCGCTCGGATATAGGGGGGTGGAGGGAGGGAGGGAGGAAGCGGGCGTGGTGTAGGGTACACTGCTGTCTTCAGTTCGCTGTGCCTACCCCTTCGAAACAAGCAGACCTGGGTTCGACTCCCGGCGCCCGCGTGGAAATCGTGTCGTGGGGTCTTTTTGTGCTGCCTATCATCTGCATTCCACTCCGGGGACTCTGAGTCGAGTCTTGGCGGGGTGGCTCAAACTCAAATCTTCAGTCCGAGTTGTCAACACACTCCGACCGAAACAAGTGGAGGGCCAGGAATACTGTGACACGTCCCGCGGTTAATCGGGGGTGCTGGAGATGTGTGGTTCAGAGTGCTGCGAAGCATTTCGAAGAGGAGCTGGCCAAAATCGCTCGGATTTGGGGATCTTCAGAGCTGAGGGAGGAAGCGGGCGTGGTGTATGGTGCACAGCTGTCAATTATGGCGACCTCGAAATAGTTGCACGCAGCAGATCCGGGTTCGACTCCCGGCGCCCGCATTCCGAGGAAACTGCGATTTCCTTTTGTCTGGCCTTTGGTCCGACGTTTGGTTGTTTAACATATTTCAGCTCGGTCGCCCCTCGATATTTCATAACACCTCCTCGACAGTTCATAACATATTTGTATGAGAAAGTTGGATTCAAGTTGGACAGGGACGGAGTCGGTCTGATATAAAGGTGGGTGGAGGGAGGGCGTGGCGTGCGTCCTCAGTTTCGCGTGACCGGTAGAATCTTTGAAGACGGGTTCGACGCCCGGCGCCCGCATACATTGGTCTCGTGTCCTTTTTGCTGGCTACCACTCCGCCCCACTATTTGCGGGATTCTGAGTTGAGTTTCGGTTGGGTTGCTTTTTGAAGTCGGGCAACGTTCGAGGTGGAGCTTGAACATAATAATAAATGAAGTAGACTCGAACATGAATGAGCAAAGTTGGAGGACATAAATGAAGTAGACTTCGGGCTAAGATCAATTCAGGCGCGGAGTGATGAGGGACGGCGTCGAAATCGGTCGAACCTAGGGAAGTTCAGAGGGGAGGGAGGAAGCGGGCGTGGTGTATGGTACACGGCTGCTTGATTTATATGGAGATCACCGATGTGAAGTTTAAGCAGCAGATCCGAGTTCGACTCCCGGCACCCGCATGCGCAGTCAGTTAGCTTTTTATTTCTTTCCCCCGGCCCTTTATTTGACTGTTGGATCCCGACGTTGAGTTTCGGTGGGGTTATTTTTTGAGGTGGGGCAACGTTCAAGGTGGAGCTTGAACATAATTATAAATGAGGTAGATTTAAGGCTAAGATAAATTGAGGTGCGGGAGTGGCGTCGAAATCGGGCGAACGTAGGGATGTTGAGAGAGGAGGGAGGAAGCGGGTGTGGTGTATGGTACACAGCTGTGTTACTTTGTACTGTATCTTGCGGAATGCTTGAGCAGCAGATCCGGGTTCGACTCCCGGCGCCCGCATTCTGATGCAACTGCGATCTCTTTTTGTCTGCCCCCTTGGTCCGACGGCGCCTTTCGAGGTGACCGGGGAACATATTTTAGACTTGAACATACATATTTCAGCTACGGAGGGAACGGTGATCCTTGATATTTCATAACACATTTGCAAGGGGGATGTGATTTAGTGGCGACGGATTCACTCGGATATAAAGGTGGGTGGAAGGGAGGGAGGGAGCGGGCGTGGTGTACGGTGCACGGCTGCCTTCAGTCTCGTTTTCCCGAAATCGGAGCAGCAGATTCGGGTTCGACTCCCGGGGCCCGCGTGGACTCTTCTCCAATGCTTTTTTTTTAAAAATTAATCTTTTTCTAGTCTTTTTTTTTGGGGGGGGAGGCGCGGTAGTCTGATGAACTCGAGCCGGTTGGTGCTTTTCGTGTTGAATTTTACACAAAATTGTTTGCAAATGTACAGTTCACTGCTTGCCTGTTTGGTAATGGGTGTATTTCTCCAGGGTGATTGAGTAGTTCTCCAGGGTGATAAAGTGGTTCCCCGAAGTCTACTTGGCGCGCGCCGAAGGCTCAGGGTGAGTAGATCTGGCCATGGGTTGGCTCAATTTTCGAGTCCACGCATAAATTGGCTTTACACTAAAACAAGTGCAGGTACAGAGTGCTGCGAGGCAGTTATCTGAGGCACCTCCGTACAATCGCTCAAACCTGACAGAGCGCAGAGGGGAGGGAGGGAGCGGGTGTGGTGTACGGTACACTGTTGTCTTTCATTTGCATACCAGAAACAGTTATTGTAAGCAGTAGATCCGGGTTCGACTCCCGGCGCCCGCATGTACAAGGTGTCCTCGATGATTCTTTTTTTCTTTTTGCGCGCGGTAGCCTGACGCCCCGGGTGGTCCTTTTCGTGTCGAGTTTATATGCTTACAATTAGACAGGATGTGCAAAAGCCGCATGGGCCGCATGCGGCTTTTGGACATTGTGCAAAGCCGCACCCAAAACACAAGATTTTGGGCCTCGAGAGCTTACATCTCACTAGAATACATGTCAAACAAGCGTATAGTAGACAGCCGTATATTGAGGCTGTCCGGGTAGGGCACCAACAGTGCATTGAAAGAGCCAAAAATTCAGCGGCTTGAGTGATGTCGTAAAAAGAACGGGTTTCCTCAGCTCTGTTTGCAGACGAATCCACAGTACTGAACATTTCAGTGTCCTAGGCATCCGATAGAACATTGGAGATGCGATGATGGTGTTTGACTCAAAGAAAGAAAGACAGCCGTTACGGCTTTGCACAAGAGCCAAAAGCCGCATGCGGCTCGTGCGGCTTTTGCACATCCTGTCTATTGTTCTGTTTAGACATTTGAAGTTGGGATGAGGCGAACACTTTCGGGGCAGAGCGGAAGAGGGACGAAGTCGCTATATAGGGGGGTGGAGGGAGGGAGGGAGGAAGCGGGTGTGGTGTATGGTGCACGGCTGTCCTCAATTAGAACGACCTCGAAATAGTTGCACGCAGGAGATCCGGGTTCGACTCCCGGCGCCCGCATGTATTCTCTTTGTCCGGTTTCTTTTTGCTAGCTTCTTATTCCGCTCTCCGGGATCCCGAGTTCAGGTTTTGGTTGATTCAAATTGATTTGATTTTGAACGCCCGACTTTCCCGTGGAGGAGAATGAATCTGAATGTGAGTGCGAGTCACAGGTCAGTGACTGGGGTAAGTGGAGTGCTTTGACTGTGCGGCGACTCGCCAAATCGCTCGGGCATAGGGATGTTGAGAGGGGAAGGGAGGAAGCGGGCGTGGTGTATGGTACACAGCTGTCTTTCATTTGCGTACCAGAAACAGTTGTTGTAAGCAGCAGACCCGGGTTCGACTCCCGGCGCCCGCATAAACAGGGCAGTGTGGTGCTTATTCCCTCTTTGCTGGCTGTCATTCCATTCCATTATTTGCGGCATTCTGAGTTGAGTTTCGGTTGGCTTACTTTTTTGAACTGGAGCAACGTTGGAGCTTGAACGTAGAGCTTGACCATAATGAGGTAGATTTATGGCTAAGATAAATTGAGGCGTCGCAACGGTCGAGGTGAGGGATGCTCAGAGGGGAGGGGCGGGCGTGGTGTATGGCACACAGCTGCATTGCTTTGGGCGTTGCCAGTTGCTTTGAGCAGCAGACCCGGGTTCGACGCCCGGCGCCCGCATAAGCAAGTGCGTGTTTCTTTTCCCCGGCGATCCCGACGTTGAGTTTTGGCTGGGTTGCGTTTTTGAGGTGGGGCAAAGGTGGAGTGTTGACGGCGCGTGAATTGGCTTATCTCCAAAAACAAAAGCAAAAAACAAGTGCAGGTGCAGAGTGCTGGAGGCAGTTTGTCTAGGCACCTCCGCACAATCGCTCAAACCTGGCGGAGCGCAAAGGGGGAGGGAGGACGCGGGCGTGGTGTATGGTGCACAGCTGTCTTCACTTGCGTCTCTTGAAAAATTACTGTAGGCAGCAGACCCGGGTTCGACTCCCGGCGCCCGCGTTAGTCGCGTCGTTGTACCTTTTGCTCGCTCCTGGGTTTAATTTCGATTAGCTCGATTCCTTTTTTTTTTTAGTAAGGGATTGAACACGCGTCAGGTAGGGGTTGAACACGCGTCAGTTAGGGGTTGAACACGCATGAATTGGGTTGTGCGGAAACAAGTGCGGGTTCAGGATATCTGAGAAAGCTGCCTAAAGTCGCTGGAACCTAGGGAAGTTCAGAGGGGAGGGAAGAAGCGGGCGTGGTGTACGGTGCATGCTGTCCTCGATGATGCATTCGGTGGAAAACTGTTGCAGACAGCAGACCCGGGTTCGACGCCCGGCGCGCGCATTGTTCCGGAGGGCAGCTCTTTTTGCTTCTGTTTCCTTTTTCTTTTCTAATGTTCCTTCCGTGCTCCCTGCGTGTGCCCAGCAGGGACAGCAGGGAATCGCGGCATGAGAGAGAGGAACGTATGATGTCATCATGCAGCCCATAAATCGGTGTTTGGGGTGGGACGTCCGTCAGAAATACATACGGTATCGGTGAAGATGTCCGACGGAGGTTGATGAGGAGCGGTTGATTGGGGGCGGTTAATTAGGCGGAGAGCCATACGGAGCCGGACGGAGAGCTTCGCCGCTGACAAGGATCGATACAGTACCTTATGTCTGACAGCGCCTCCATCGAGATGCCGCGGCGCACGGTTGTCCACTGTCCACGGAATGGTCTGATACGGGGTGATTGCAATATATCCCTCGATGAATTAAACATGCTGCCATGCAATAAATTGAGCATGCTGTAAGGCGTGTGCAGAGGGCGGGTGCTGGCTAGGAGACGGCGATAGTGATATCACGGAGATCGGCAGGCATGTTGATTCGAAGCGCACTGGCAGGGGTGGGGTTGATTCATTGAATGCTGGGGATCAGGGCATTGTGTGCAGGGTGGGGCGAGGCTGTGTGGGCGCTGGACAAGAGAAGAGGCCAAGTGGCAAGTGTGGGGCTTGTACGGTCACGCTGGTGTGACTGTGTGACGCCAGTTGGTCTCTGCCCTCGTCGACTTGAGCTCGCTGCTGCCCGCTGCCATGGACGCTGTGGGAACGGACTCGCCGCCGCTGCGCAACACGATCCTGGGCTCGTTCCTGGGCCGCGGCCGCCCGCGCAACTCGTCGCAATCGCACATCGACATCGCCGCCGCCCGCGAGATGTCGCCCTCGCCGCCCTCCGCGCAGCCGCCGTCGCCGATCCCTGTGAGCGGGAGCCACCGCCGCCGCCCGCCGCCCGCTGCGCCGGGCCCAGTGGGTGGGGCAGGCCCGCTGGCGCCGTCGACGTCGCACCAGCACCAGCCGGGGCTCACCCTCTCGCACATGCTCCGCCGCCGCCGGTCCGCGGGCAACGTCGCCGCCCCCGCCGCCGCGCCCGCCCCGCCGCAGCCGCTCCCCACCCCCGTCTCCGCCCTGCCCCCGGGCGCCGCCCCGCCCGCCTCCGCCCCCGCGCGCCCCACGACGGGCGGCAGCGGGACGCACCGCCTGCGCCTCGTCCCGCACCTCGACTCGCGGCGCTCCCTGCGCTTCGACCCCATCGCGCGCGACCTGCGCGAGTCCGAGCCCGCGCTGCGCATCGGGCGCTTCACGGACCGCTCCGGCTTAGGGCTCGCCGCGGTCAACGCGCTGAGCACGAACAAGATCGCGTTCCGCAGCAAGGTCGTCTCGCGCGCGCACGCCGAGGTCTGGGTCGAGGCGTCGCCCCACGGCGGGCCGCCGCAGTTCTTCATCCGCGACACCAAGAGCAGCAGCGGCACGTTCCTGAACCACGTACGGCTGAGCCCCGCGAACACGGAGAGCAGGGCACACCAGATCAAGGACGGGGACATCCTGCAGCTGGGCGTGGACTACCAGGGCGGCGCGGAGGATATATACAAGAGCGTCAAGATCCGGATCGAGGTCGGCCGCGAGTGGCAGGCCGCGGCGAATGCGTTCAAGTGAGTGTGCGCGAGGATCGCCGAGCGCCTTGCTGTCTAGTCTTTCGAGCGCGAACTGACGGTGTGTAGTACGAACGCCCTCAAGAACCTCAAGACGCTCGCCATCGCCGCGCCCCCCATCCCGGGCGCCCCCGCGGGCGCGGCGGCGGGCGGGAAGCGCAAGGCGCCCGCGGCGGGGAGCATCCCCGATTGCTGTATCTGTGCGTTTTGCGTCTCTTTCTCTCTTTTTCCCTGTCGCCCGACTTTTGCTTTTTCCTGTCATTTGCGTTTTGGGCAGTCGCCCATATCCTTTTCTTTTTGCTACCGAGCACATACGTTGCATCCCTCCCTCCCTGCTTTGCTTTATTTCCGTCTCCTCCCCCGCTCCGCACCCACTAGCACTTCCGAGCTGCTTTCAGTTTCCGTCTTTCCGGCTTCGCCTTCCTTACCATTCCACCATATGTCATCTTCACCGCCCTCCTCCGCCGTTTTCTGCCTTCCCTTCCCTTTCCTCATATATCTATCGATCGCATCCCATCCCATCTGCATCCCCGCATCTGCATCCACCCCATCGCTCATGCGCGCTACGCTTCGCTTCCCCTGCGCTCCCTTATCTGCGGCGGTCGCGACTCGCTCGTGAGGGCGCGTACGAGCGGCAGGGCCCTTGCTGCGTCTGCGCGCCTTCCTCTCGCCCTTCCCTCGTCCCGCCCTTCCCTCGTTCGTCCGCCTTCCTCTCATCCCTCCCGTCGTCCCCCCATCCGAGACGCTCGATACCGCCGTCTGCCTTGCGTTGCGTTTCCCCCGAGCGCGTCGTCGTCGCGTTTCCCCCCAGCGCGCGGGGCGTTCTATCTTCCGCGATCGACCCCGTGTTGCGTCTTCTCCGTGCTCCGTGCGCGCGCCGTCGTTCTTCTTCTCTGTATCCCCCCCCCCCCCCCCCCATTCGCTCGCCACCCTCGTCATCCCGCCTCCCCTCCCTCTCCCTCTTTCCTTTCCCCAATTCTATACTCACCCCGCCCCTCCCTTCGTCCCCTTCTCTCCTCCTACTTCCCTCGCTTCCCTCGCTCGCCGCTCCGCTCGCTCCCCCCATTCGCCCTTCCGCTCGCTTCCGCCCCCCGTGCTCACTTCGTTCGCCCGCAGGCCTCTTCCCCGTGTCGATCCGGCAGGCGCTCTTCATCGCGCCGTGCAGCCACGCGTTCCACTACAAGTGCCTCCGGCCCCTGCTCGAGGCGCACCATCCGGCGTTTAGGTGCGTTTCTTTCTTCCGTGATCATATTATCTCTTCTCCGTCTTTTTTTTCCGGGAGGTATACGCGCACGGCGGAGCGGGGCTTGGCTGTACGGTCTTTCCCGTCGAGCGTGCCTCGGGCGGGCGGCGCCGCCGGTATAATGAGGGCGCGGCGCGGTGTGTGCGATGTGGGGGCAGGGCGAGTGTCGATGCGTACGACGGAGCCGGTGGGGCTCCGCGGCGCGACGCAGAGGCGTTGGCCGTTGGCCGTTGGGGACCCTCCCCTTTCCCGCCTTCCTGTCTTACCGCCTTCCTCGCGCGCGGTGGCCCGGGGGCGGGCTCGTCATTGTCGTCGTCGTCGGGCGCCTCGTGCGTGCTCGAAGGGCGGGGCACTGTAGCTCGCGAGTGGGCCCGCTGATCCTCCTGCCGCGGGATGTGCCTGTCGTGCACCGAGTTCCTTCCCCGCCTGCCCTGTCCTTGCTGCGCCCCTTCTTCGAGCTGCGCGGCGGGCTCTCCGCGCGTCGTCTGCCTCCCCCCTCCTCTTACCCTTTTACCTTTCCTTCCCTCTCCTCTCTTTTCTTGCCCACACACAAACAGAGACTGACGAATTCGCAGCTGCCCGCTGTGCCGGACGTTCGCGGACCTGGAGGAGGACGTCGAGGTCGAGGGGGAGGAGGTGTGTGCCTTTCTCACTGCTTTTTTTCTCTCGAAGGGGTTTTTTTCTTTCTGCTTTTTTTCTTTTTTTTTGTCTTCGTTCCTTGCGGGCGAGGGCGCCGTCCTATTTTTCGGCGTCTTTCGTCCTGTTTTTGGTGGATGTGGATTTGCGCAGTGTGGAGGCGTCGTTTTCGGCTTCGTTTCCTTTTTCCCCCTCCCTCCTTGCGATGTTTTTTTTTTTTGGCGGGGTGGAGACGGTGGGAAGGTGGAGAGAAGGTGGAAGGTGGGGGAGGCACACGGGCACGGGCGCGGGGATGTGGCGCTTGATGCGGACGGGGACGGGGACGGACGGGGACGGCGTCTTGCTGTCGAGCGGGTGTGGCGGCTGACGAGTGGGGGCGGAGCCGGCTCGCTGTGAGCGGTGCAGCGGCGTCCGCGGGCGGCGGGCTCGCAGGTCCTCGAGGTCGTCTTACCTGCGCCGTGCGCCCCCGCCGTCGTCGGCGCTGCGAGGGCAGGACACCGTTGTGTGCGCCGGCGCAGGGAACGCTGCGGCTGAGGTCCATGGACGGCTCGGCGGACGAGCTGCGAGCTGCGAGATGGTCGGCGTCGCTCGAGTGACCGGGGCCGTGGAGCAGTCGACGGGACGCAGAGGAGACGTGTGTGTCCCCGTGTGCTTGAGGTGCCATCACGGGGATTCGGAGCGTCGTCGTCGAGGGTCCGCCGAGCTGAGTGCTCCAGGTGTGGTCTGGCAGCGTCGTCTTCAGCGGGCGCAGTGTCGTCCTCGCCATGCGCCGCGACGCAGAGGAAGCCTGCGGGACACAGAGGAGACGTGTCCCGCGTGCTTGACGGGCGCCGGACGAGTCGGAGCGTCGTCGTTGCGGGGAGCCAGTGAGCTCCGTGTCTTTGGTGTGCGGATGCAGGGCAGCGTCGTCCTGAGGGGCGGTGGAGCTGCAGGTCGTCCTCGCCATACACCGCGACAAAGTCTGTGGGACGTAGAGGAGACGTGTCCCCGTGTGCTTGACGAGGTGCCGTCACCGAGGGTCCGCCGAGCTGAGTGCTCCCGGCGTATGGATATAGCTCAGCTCGAGGCAGCGGGGAAGCTGCGCTGTGCAGGGCTCGCGGGCAGGAGAGGTCCTCGTCGTGACGCAGACGTGCGCGTGGGGTCGAGCGCAGAGCCGAAGCGGCGTCACCGA